TAATGCCCCCCTGTGGTTACCTCAATGCCCACCACCTGCCCACAGCAGCTACCTACTTCCCAGGTCACTTATCCTAGTGAGAGCCAGGCAGCTCCAGCTACCTCTTGCCCTCCACCCCCAGCTGCCCACCTGTAAGTCAGGCAGGCCTGGGAGCCAGCCAAGGGCACAGAGGACCTGGTCAGGTGCCGGTGTCCCCTCCCCCACAGCTACAGCCAGCCCCAGACCTTTTACCTGGAGCCTCCCCAGCCCTCCCCATCAATTAAGCAGCTGGGTGCCCTGGGCTTGGGACTTCCAAGCACTTATCTCCTGCCCAGCCCTACCCCCTTTGTATCTACACACAGAGGCTGAGGCCCAGGAGCAGGGCACTGAGCCCTGGGATAGTGGCCCCAGCAGCTCTCAGTCATGTGCCCCTGACTGGGGCAGCAAACGCTACTTGAGGCGGCTTCAAAGCATTCTCCTGATTCTCCACTGAGGCCTGATTTATTCTTACTAATTCCTTTATCCTTTAGTGCAAGGTGATTATCACCTCAAGATTGAAGTATATCCTGTATCCTTTCTCCACAAGAGAAAGAGGGCTTTCTGCTCCCAAAAGAGTTAGTCTTGAAAACTCACAGGGCCAGTTCTGCCCTGTCTGTCCTATAGGGTCACTGTGAGTCAGCATCGACTCAATGGCAGTGAGTTTGGCTGGTTGCTTGCTTGGTGGAGATTTGCACAGTGGGAGGTGGGGAGGAATGAGTGGAAAGGGCCGTGAAAAGCTAACTAGAAGAGTCTTGATTGAAACAGGCTTCCCTAAAATTTCCTCCGACTTTCCCCTTGGGACTTTAACGGAAAGCACAGTCACTTAAGGAGTTGACTCAACGTGGGAAACCAAGTCACAGAAGGGAGAAGAGAGAGGAGTTGGGGAGAGGTAGACCAGGGAGATCACAGAGGAGGAAAGCCACCTTACTTCCAACAAAGTCAAGAGCCACCCTCGGTCTCTGACCCTAGAGCCTGGCCTGGCCCAGATCTGGCTGGAGGGAGAAGCTGCCCAGGGGTGTGGCTGGGGAACGGGTACGCAGTGGACTCGCGGGCCTCCCCCTGCTGCCCACTGCAGCTCCTCCATGGAAGCATTGCACGCCCCTGCCCCTGTCCCGTTAAACCCACCTCATGGCAACCCGACAGGCCCCAGAGTAAGCTGCCCCGTCTGGTTTTCCTAACTAACCTTTTTGAAAGCAAATCAGCAGACTTCCCTTCTGCAACACCACTCGGTAGGTTTAAACCACCAACCTTGTGGCTAAGGCAAGTGCAAAGCATTTGTGCCACCCTGGAAGCATCCTGGGGCTCCCCAAACAGACTCCCAACCTCCCAGAAAGCAAGGCAAACCAGGGATACCTGGTCTCCACCTGGACCGGGCAGAGATCCAAAACTGTTTGGCCCTCAGGTCCTCCTCCATCTTCTCCTCGCACTGCCCTCCACTGGGGTGCCTTCTACCTGTGACTGCGCATTCTT